TCGGGAGCATCCTTGAGTGCATCCACTGCTGCATCTATCGGCAGCGGGCTGCCTGAAGTCGGCGCTTTGCCCCTTGTTTCCTGAGACACCAAGACCCATAATGTTTTGTCAGCATCCACCACCTGCCGCAGGACAACAGGATGCTGTCCCGGGTACACTGGCCGCATCATGTGGCCAAAGAAGCGCGAAATGACCTTGTCCAGGACTGTGAAAGTCGCGATGCCGGCCATGTGAAAAGCGAGGGCACGGCGCTGCATGCACGTCCGCACATGCAAGTCTGTACTCGTATCCGCTGTGACCGCCGCATGGTTCTTGGTAACCTTGATGTTTAGCTGCTCCAGCTTGAAGGTAACGGGGTCGCGCTTTTCCGAGCGCATCTCCGCCTCACGCGAAGTACACTTGGACAGCTCCAAAGGCCCCAGGCACTGCTCTTCCGCAAATGAAACGGCCCTGTCGACCAGGGCATGGGATGGCTCCAACCAGGTATCGATGGTCATGCCCGGCAAGGATTTGCGAAGACGGTCAAGACGATCAACCCGATCGGCCATGGACAAGCGTTTGGCCTCCTCCCTCGGCTCGAACTTGTCCTTCAACTCCTGAACTGCCAAAGTGTGGCTGGTGTAGAAAAGGTGGCGAAAGGAGGGCAAGGATTCTTTTGCCTCATCCCCAAGCTTTGCAACCAATGCATCCACAAACGGCTTCTCATCGGTCGCCCCCGGCTGGTAGCTGGATATGAAGGCGAACAGTGAGAAGCTTCGGATGCCCTTTGTAATCAGAGTGTCCACATGTGCCTCTGACACGCCCAAGCGAAGTGCCTCCGCGCGAAAGGCCGCCTGCGAATCCACGGACATGGCGATGACCTGACAAGCAAGCGTGTGCGAACCCTTCCAGCCATGCACCATGCTTGCAGGACGCAGGCGCACCGGCATTGCTGTTTAACGCAGCCCGTCGCAAAGGCCCGGTTCTTTGCACTTCCTGGCACGAAGACCAAGCCGGGGCAGCGTATCTTCGGAAATGTTTCCCGGGCTTTGCTGCCACAAAACCACAGTGCCGACCGCACTGCCATCAACACAGGCAGCTTATCTTCGGAAATGTTTCCCGGGCTTCGCTGCCACACAAAACCACGATGCCGACCGCAAAGGAAAGCCGGCTCAAAGGCCGGGTTCCCGGCTCATCGTGGCAACCACGCATCGCCGCAGCCAGACACCCGAACTGCAAAAGAGGGTAGCCACCGCAGCCCTTCCGGTCCGCGTCATGACTCAGGCTCCTGCCCTGCCTCTTGCGCTCTTTGACACACCAGACACAGGGGATACGGGCTAGAAGTCTGTTCCCTTGGCCTAACGTAATTTGCCGTCCTTGGCCTCCCACAGCGAAACCGATCAGGCGTCGAGGCAAGGGCATGAAGCGTACCAGACGACAAATGCACAAGGAAGTCATCTGGGTTCGGAGCTGCCACCATGCGACGCTCCGCCGCCGGGACTGCTTCAACCACAGCCTCCTCAGCCTCATCGTGGCCGACATCCTCAGACGCGCTGTCATCACAAGCCTGTGGCTCGCCATGAGCCTTCCGCTCAAGCTCGTCCGAAGCAAGTTCCTCCTGCATCAATTGTTGGGCAATCAAGTCTGCTGCTGAGGCATCCGGCCGGAAAGAGCCGTCATGCATCTTGCCCAGCATGCCAGAAACCTTGACCATAGGCCCCACAAAATTTGCCCTCCCATAAGTGAGGGCACTAGTCGAAGGGCGGTCGAGGTGATGCCCAATGATCTGTCGCTCAACCAAAGTGAACTGTCCACTCTTGCAAAGCCAGCTCAAGATCGTCACCTTTAAACTGTGGCTCGAAGGCAAGGGCTCCAGCAAAGGCGTCCCCATCTGCCGCAGGATCTCCCGCAGGAGCAGGGTGCCTTCGCCGCTCGTCATCCTACGCCTTATGAACTGGTTGGAGGACTCATTCCACGAAGGGAGAAGGTAGTCCACGTTGGCCCTAGGCAAGCGAGCCCTCTTCATGGCATCCAGCCACTTCGGCGCCCACGCCGTCGAAACCAGCAGCTGCCCAAAGCAAACAAAGGGAAGAAGAGTGGTCTTCCTTTCCGCGGTGCTTGCCAGTTTGTGCCTGGTGGTCCCCGAGGTAAGCACCGGCCGCGTCCCGGAAGTGTCCAGGACCGGAAAAGTCGAATGCTGAGCATCTCCCCAACGAGCAGAGTTCGCAAGAACAAACAAGAAGAATCCAGCGATGCAAACAACTGCAGTGTCGGGGCTCTTGACCACAAGCTTCTCAAGGAACCTCACCTCATCGGCTGTAAGGGGCCTTGCTTGCTTCAACGGCCTCTTTTGCACAGCGCACTCATAGACCAGGCCTCTGATCCTAGGAGACACTAGGTCATCCAGTGGCGCTCGAATGCCAAGAAGGGAGTGCATGAAGTTCACGGCCTCCAAGCAGCTCTGAGGAGCCGAAGGAGACTTGCCCTTCAGCGAGTCAATGTATGCAAAAATGCTCGCTTCACTCATATGCAGCCCAGACTTATATCCGCAATCCGAATGGAACTTGAACATCTTCCAAAAAGCCAAAGTCCTCTTGTGCAAGGTTGCAGGAGACTTCTTGGCAAAGGTCAGCTCGATCGACCTTTGTATCTGAGGTTCCTTGTCAAGGGCTCCACTCAGCTCATACAGAACTGACCCGAGTTTCGTAGCATGGAAATCAGACTCAACCATAATCCTGATAAGATGAAGCGACTTCCTTTTCATGTCATCCGAAACATCCGGCCAATCAAGCATCTTAGCCCTCCGAGCCGCATAGGGAAGGACAGGCAGCTTCACAGAATCAGATTGATTCGACACTGCATTCGACGGTTCCTTAAGCTCAGCCAGCAGATGCTCTGTCCTGCCAAGCTTGAAAGTGGCCCCCATTGATGCAGAGACAAGCGTTGTAATGCCACCTGCCTCCCTCTCCCAAGCATGCTTCGGTCTCTTCCTCTGGTGTTGCTCTGCCCTAAGCAACTCCATGACTCAGCTTGGGCCCTTGAAGCTTGAAGCAAGCCCCAATTTTCAAGAAGCACAACACTGAAGAAATGTGACACAGAATATGCGCAAGCGAAGGCACCTGCAGTTCGAGATGGCGGCAACCCTGGGGTCCCTTGCTCTGCAAGCCGAAC